TTGTTTTCATTGCATTTACAGACCCTTGTATCTCTCTGATACCACCCAATTAATGCACTGACTTGCTTGTAGAACCACGCTACACAAAGCAGATAGCAACACCTATAAAAACTTAAGCATAGATATTTTAAAAAAGGGGCTACTGTATCGACATTTTAAAATTATATTTAAAGAAAAGGCCCTGACAAAACAGCAGGGCTCTATTTCAGTATTAACTATAGAAAAAAAGACAGCAACAGCTGACATCAAATCTTTGCTGAGCCCAAGGACAATCATAAATAAATAACATAGTGAAAATAAATATATTGCAATGCTCAGTACAGCAGCATCCAACCGTCTCTAATCATAAAAAAACATAATACAAATAAATGTATTGCAATGCTCAAAACAGCAGCATCCAACAGTCTCTAATCCTTGGATATTACATGTCACTGCATGCATGCACGGAGCAGCTGTAGCGCGGAGATCATCATATAATTCTGTCTTGTATTACTTAACAAAAACAAAAAAACGGCTCGTTCGCGGGCGCGAGCCGGCTCCCGTCGTTCACATAAAAGAGCCGGCTCGTTCACGACCGACACATCACTACCTCACACTGAAGTGAGGATTGCTGAGGGTAGGTTGTGCTAGGAATTGTGTTACAGTTTATTACAATTTTGTGTGGTAAACCGGCTATTTAAGTTGATGAAAGTGATGTATGTTGTTAAGTGTCAATTTGGGTACATTATTAACCCGTTTTTGTTAAGTTTCCACCGTAAGAAATAGTTTTGAGTGATATTTACGATGTCGTTTTGGCGGGAAATAGACGCGATCTGCGCCATTTTGTTTGTTTACATGGCAACACTTTCTGATTTCTTTCTTTTATTTTGTAAAAATGTGCAACGAAGATGTAAAGGACATTTTGTGTTTGTTCTCAGGTATGTTTATGTTTGTATTTTGTGTGATTACTTAAAAATAAGATTTTCTTGGTCATTTAATAATTTCTTTATTTGTATAAATAAGCTAGTATGTATAAATATATACTACAGGACACTGAAGTGAGCACTGCTGAGGATGTGCAACGCGGATGTAAAGGACATTTTGTGTTTGTTCTCAGAATAAATGCCAGAAAACACACTCAGATGCTTCGCTGTCCGTTTCCTGATTGATAACGAGTTGCTTACGGTTGTGACCTGTTACACTAACAAGCGACTAAATAAGACTGCTAAGCAGGCTTGGAATTTCGTCATTTTAGCGGCAAGGCCATTTAGCCTTTGGTGTCACAACATTTTTTAAGGCACAAATGCCACATGCCAGGGCACAAAGGCCATTGAGGGAAACATTTTGATTTGGAGCTTTCAAATAAATAACTACACTTTCTGATAAGAAAAACACACGAATGACATGGAAAACAAATCACTTTTTTTAATATCAATAATTTCAAACGTATCATCATACAGGCCTATGCCTCCTTAGTATTACCGTATATAAAATGAAATACTCTACTTTAACCTGTTCCACTCTGAGCCTGTTTTTCAGGTCTCAGGCTCGAAAATGACATTCCCAGAACAAATGACCATATCTTCCCTTCTAAAAGGGTTAAATTAATAATCTTTGTTCTCAAAGTAATGATAAACCTGTGAGTTGGATGTAGAAGTGTCAGAATCAATATAAATGTTTTTTATTTTAAAGAAAATTCAGATTTTACATAGTAAAAAACTGTAAATTATAGTGTCCGTCCAAAGATTATTTTTTACAGATAGTGAAAACTACCCTTGGATGATGGGTTAGTAGACTAAAAGCTTTAGGAATCCAAAGTACAACATATAATAAGTACCCTGTATCAGGATTGATGCAAAACAAGTGACATTTGACCTTTTTAGAGAGGTTTAGCCAAAACCACCCCACCTCTGAGGTGATTTGGGTGAAAATGTTTTTTTTTCCATATCTCTGGCTTCCCTTGCTTGATTTGGTTGGTTGACACACCCTTCTGACTGTTAGAGCCAATAGAATCGAAGGGGGAGGCCCACACACACACACGTTGTAAAGAGAAAAGGTGGGGGCTTCGCGTGTAGAAATCGAAAGCATATTGGATTAATGTCTCCTTCTGGAATTTATAAACTAAAAAGCAGTTGTATTGCTTATGGATTATCAGAAATAATTTCAAAGAAGGCACAGACACATAGGATGAACCTATGGATTAACTGCAGCATCGTTTTTTTATCGTTTTAATGCCATTGAAGACCACTTTTGACCAAGGTAAGCCATGTTAGCGTTTTTAGCTACTTAGCTCCACATGTTATGTACGCTTTCGTTTATAGCGTCGCGAATGTTTATCACTGAGTGTTGAGGAGGGCACCGTTAGATTCAGTGTCTCCAGGACACCAAAAAAGAGTGGTTGGTTGTGCATCTAGGATAAGTAATAAGGGAGTTCTGAGTGAGTTTAAGTGCCGCTTTACGTTCCATGTTTTCGCTCGTGGATAATTCAGAGGCTGAGTGCTAGCATTGTGGGGTTTTTTTGAAAAAAAAAATTAAAAAGATCAGTTAGCTGAGTTTCTTCCCGTTACATGGATATAACACATTCATAGTTTTATTCAATATTAAGATTCCTTAGACGTTGTTTCCTGCAAATGACGCGTTTATCCGCCCGGTACCGGGCGGAAGGTGCGTAACAGGTTAAATAATTAATGTTTGGTATGTTTTCTATCTACTACTTCTCCCATTCACAAATCCGAAATCACATCAAAAAATCTAAAATTCTATTAATATGTAACAAATATATTCTATTTCAGAGCAGAACAAACAGCCTTCAAGGGTCACACTCTGCACATACATCATTCATGCACAGTGAAGCTCAAACATTGAACTGTATGAACAAGCAATACTTTGAAATGCAGAAGTCTGTGTGTGTATGTATGAGTCTCTTTAAAGGTGGGGTAGGTAAGTTTGAGAAACCGGCTCGAGATACACTTTTTGTTATATTCCATGGAATGCTCTTAACATCCCGATAGCAATGAATATCTTAAGTGCTTTGACAAAAAATCCATAAAAAAATTTCATCTGTGGAAGCCGTAATACTGTAAAAAGCATGACCAGTGGCGTCGCCTGGGGTAGGCATCTGGGGCTTTAGCCCCGGATGTTTTTTCTTTAGCCCCGGACAAATTCTCCCTCAATATAATACATTAACCGTACTTCTTTACCTATAGGACGGCAGATTTGTAATTTCCCGTGTTCAGTGAATGCAACATAGGCAAGCCAAGACACCACCAGACCAATCAGAGAGTTGCATGGAAATAAACGTGTTTTATTGGCTGACAGGTACGTACCTCTCCTCTGTGACAATGTTTAAACTTTAAACTGTCAGCCCCGGACGCGGAGATTCTGAAGATGGACATTAGACATTTTTTCAATAAAAAAGACGGCAATACTCAAGTGGTGGCTCACACAACAACCCCAGAGCCACCACCTGAGCCAGGTGAACAAGGTATGTACATGTCAGTAAACTTACAAGTTATGCGAACATGTAAGCAAAGCATAAATTACAGCTACGTTGACGTTACTTTGAATCGCACGGGTAATCTAAACCGTTAGCAAGTAGCTATAGCGAGCCAGATATATTAAATAAACACTTTGTCATACAATATAAATGTTGTGTTTTTTAGCGTTACCTGGTGATTTCAAAGAAAGCTCTCTGGGAAATGTTGACTTACTGTTCGACAGGAAGCTAGAAGCTACCTTACAGTCCACAGTTGATCCTGAGTCCTGTCAGTTAAAGTGTTTCATAGTTAGCTTAGCTAAGCATCAAACTAGCACTGAAATATATGGATGTTATGTGACAGTATTTCTGAGAAAAGTCAGCTTAAATGGTGGCCTAGTTGCCACTGCTTTACTGTCGACAGCACGTTTGAACGTATTTGCAGCAGTAAATGTGGCTGTTTGGCCACTGACGTTGCCATAACACCTGAATTTAAATGTGCAACCTCTTTTTGTGACAGATTTTTGCATGAAATTATAATTCTGATTGATATTTCCTATTGATAGCTAGTTTCTATGTGAACATTATGAGATGGACAGCCAGCTAACAAGCTTTTTATATACAAAGATTTCAGATCAAAGCTAATCCAGTAGGGCTCCTGAAAGGGGACAAGGGACACTATGCTCCCAAATATCAAGCCTTGACCCCCATCTTAAAATTGATATGATCAAAAAATCTGCATTGTCTGAGGCCTTTTTTCCTCATTATCATGTCAAATTGTACAGCTTTCCTTAGTTTTGAATGCAGAAAGATGACTATTCGAGTATTACGTGAAAATGACTATATTAAAGTGTTAAGTAAATATATTAAGTGAATTACTCAAACTGCATTTGTATAGGAATGATTCTCTCCTATTGGCAGATAACTACTAACAGTGATATCTACAAGAGGTTTCCAATGTCAATTTAACTATTTTCAATTGGTTAGTATTATATTTTGTGACAGTGTGGTGACACTCATTTTAATGAAGACAAATTTGTGTATCTTGAAATGCATTTATTTGACAGAGCTGGAAACTGATTTAAAATACTTGTTTGTGTTTACCTACACAGTCATCACAGATGAGCCAAAAATAGTAGAGGATGAAGAAAGGAGAACAGGAGAAAGGGACACACAAGAAGGAGATACAACAGATAACAACAATGAACAGGAACATCAGAACAGACAAGAGTCAATGGGTAACTGGGGAACTGATTTAGGGACTGCAGATACAGGGCCAAGGCAAGTGAGACATCACTGTTTTCCATCCGGCATGTTTGGCCAGCAAAAGAGATCATTTCAACCAAGTTGGTTTGATACTTTTAAATGGGTTGAATATTCTACCACTGCCAATGCAGCATTCTGCTTTAGTTGTAGACTATATGGCAAACCAAAGCAATCAAGGGATCAAAGGGATACCCTCACCACCTCAGGATACACAAACTGGAAGCGTGCATTGGATTCTTTTCGAGAACATGAAAAGTCAAACATACACAAGACTCTTCTTTCCAGTTCTCGACAGAATGCTGGAGGAGCTTCAAAACAGGTTTTCTGGAGTTGGGGAAAAAATATTAATTGGCATACAGGCATGTCACCCTCCATGGGGAGGTCGTCGACCGATTTGCAAAGATCAAACCAAGGCGATTTAGCCTAACACTTCCACCTACAAAACAATAAAGAGTGTGAAGACAGCGAGTGATGATGGGGAGAAAAAACGAAGCAAATGAAAGGTAATGTGATGAAGGAAGCAGCAAGTGAGGAAGGAAGCAAGTGAGGGATTATTATTTCCTCCTTCCATCCCTTTTTTCAGTTTAATCTAATTACTAACAACTTCTAATAATTTGACATAGTTTATGATTTAATTGGAAAATCAAGTGTTTTTAAATAATAAACCTGTTTCTGATTCTGATTCTTTGATTTTTTTTGACATATGGGTGTTGAGAGATGTATAGATCTCTTAATGTTGCTCTCAAAGTGCACCAGATTGATGCTTTTAACTTCAATATTTAAAAAAAATCTTCCTGGGGGAGTTCCCCCCAAAAATAGTACTTTACCTCTGCTTATGTAACTCCGGTGTAGTGTCCCCTCGGCAACAGATCACTCACAGTTGGTGATTACTTTCCTGCATTTCAATGGACAGCATATAAAAAGGACACGTGAGCTTCATTGCTTAAGAGATCCTCACATGCCATCTCTTTTAAAAAATAAGTGTCCAGTCAACAACAAAACATCAGTGATCGTATAGTGGTAGTATATTTTTCATAAGCAATGTGAAACATTAAACTTAAAAAAACTGGTGTACAAAACTCACATACCTGCGTTGATCTCCTGGAGTGTCTCTACTCTTTCTTCTCCACCATTAGAGATTGCAAACATTTCAGAAACAGCTAGACAAATAACTTGTTCGCTGGGCATGTCAAAAACCTCCCTGCTTTGATCAAGACTTTAGGGAGCCTTTCAGCCCTCTGGCAAAGGGGCTGGAAAGCAAGTTTTGCAAATGCAGTACCATCTACATGCTTGTCCTGTTCCAGACACTGCTCTCAACCACTCAGGGCCTGCACAAATACCTGCAGAAAGAAACAATTGACTTGGTGCAGGCAGTAAATTACAAAACAGCAGTTGAGAACACACTGAAAAGTTACCGAAGTGACGAGAAAGCAAGACCAAGGCCCTGTGCAATGATCTTGATATTCCCGAAACTGTGACACAGAAGAAGAAGCGTAGAAACATGGAAGACTTTGTAGTCGAGGCATCGTGTGTAGCAGCTCTCCCATTAGCTTATTAGCTCAGATTAGCTATTGATGATCACGTTGATAAATCATATAAAACCAATAGCCAAACACACAAAAAACATGCTGCTGTGTGAGCATTAAACGATTAACATTAAACTAAACAAACACAACAAAACGTTATAGTCCTTATAAAATAAAAACATACATTTTGTCCACCAAAATAATACAGGCACCTTACCCTCGAGAGATCCTCACATGTTATGAGAATCTCCCACAATCCATTGCCGTAACAAAGCTAATGCAGGCACACGTTTGTTTGTGACACCAGATGGCGTAATTCTTCTTCTTCTTCTTTTATTTAATGGCGAATCGCTTCCACTTGGAGCATATATCGCCACCTCTGGCGTAACCCGAATTAATTCTCCGATTTAACAAGGATTTTATACCAACCTTTATAACTCTGTACACACACGACACACCTATATGTCGTGAGCTGATTATCGAGCCTTCATTGTAACAGATCTGGTAGGCCACCACGTTATTCTTTACTTTTTACGTCTTTATATGGAGAAGATATTACTTTTTTCTCCGTCATGTTGTTTCCATAGGAACAACAACTTCCTGTCAACAGCCAACGAAAAGTAACAAAAAACACTGTAATATCCTTTTCAGTTTCACAGAACACAAATTGGGTTATTTACATAATGTTTACAGTACTGTTTATTGTTATTTTGTAATATTCTTTGCGGAATTTGGCCATGTAAAATGTCCTATTGGGTTGCTGTACAGCCAATGCGTGACGTCATTGGTAAGCGGCGTAACGAACCCCGAACAGATTCTGGTACCTACACCGCCACTGTGGGCTCAGCCCCGAATGTTTCCAGGTCCAGGCGACGCCCCTGAGCATGACCAATCATTTTAGCTGGCCCGGCTAAAATAACTGGATGGCCTACCTGCCTGTCAGCCTTCCATCTGTGCACAAACTTATCTTGTGCCCTCATTGGTCATGTGCGCGTTCGTGTGTGTTGGAGGACGGGCTCTATAAGGAAGTGGCAGATTTTCTCCGGTTGTGTATTTTCAAATTCTAGCGATATCGAGCCGGTTTCTCAAACTTACCTACCCTACCTTTAATATTTATTAAACTATGAAGGCCGTCAGAGGCAGTCGGGCATTCGCGGCGCCCTACTCAGGTTGGTGTGTCCCGCACAGTCGTCTCTTTACGGCACCTTTTCACACCTCCCGACGCCTCCCGCGACCGATTCAACATGTTGAATCGGCCGCGGGAGGTCAGAGAGGTCAGCGAAAGTCGGGACAAGCAATCACTCTGATTGGCTGGTCACACTACCGCTGCCTGCTGGTAAGGACAGTTATTGCCACTCATCGACTGAAGTATTTGCGGTGTGTTCGTAGGCGGGCGGCGTAGCCGACGCAAAAGTCGGGACGCCTTTGGTACGCGTTCTTTGGTCTCAGGTGGGTGTGTAGCGGCCTTTAGTCTACCTTACCATCATCCAAGGGTAGTTTTCACTATAAGTAAAAAATAATTTTTGGACGGACACTAGAATTTACAGTTTTTTTACTATGTTCAATCTGAATTTTCTTTAAAATAAAAAACATCTATATTGATTCTGACTTTTCTACATCCAACTCACAGGTTTATCATTACTTTGAGAAAAAAGATTATTAATTTAACCCTTTTAGAAGGGAAGATATGGTCATTTGTTCTGGGAATGTCATTTTCGAGCCTCAGACCTGAAAAACAGGCTCAGTGCTTAACAGGTTAAGAAGCTTACTATTTAAAAGAAAAGGTTTAGAAAAGGCATAAACAAAAAAATGTATAGCCTCAATGTCCTGAAATAGCTGAATAATGTAATAGTTGAATGGTTTCTGTAGCTGAAAGTAGGCTGAAGGAGTTAGATATTAAATGTAAGTAGTAGTGAATTAATGTGTATTAAGAAGAGAAAATAAAGTAAAAACGCTTTGAAAAGCAGCAGAATATTTTAACTGCAAACTTTTGAACTAAAACCATACGTCAACAATAATGTATAAAATATGTGGAACATGTTGAAGTCGGTATGAAGTCTCCATCAGACAGAAAAGATTAGGCTGAGACTGTTACGGTATCTGAGAGGACCCAAACGCAGGACACGGCAGATTGTTGAAAAAGGGTTTATTAGTGGATGAGGTGCGGGGAGTAGAATCCGGCTGGAGTGGCGGCTGGTGACAGCAACACGGCGGTCGGAGAATGATCCTGGAGCACAAGAAGAAAACACGTTAGACGCTAAAACATCCAGGTATGAGAAAATAGCTATAATGCTAAGTAGCCTTGGAGTTATACCACTGTGGTTTTACAACGATCTGGCGGAGAAAGGTTGTGGCGCCTCCGTTGATATGCCGTTGCAAATGGCTTGATGGAAAGCAGGTGTGTAGTCGGGGAGGGTGCACAGGTGAGTGGAGGTTGAGCCGGGATCCAGGAGTGACAGCCACCACGCCCACAAACAACACAGAAAGGGGAACAGAAACAAACAAACACAAAGGAGACGGCTGGAGGAGTACAGCCACCACAGAGACAGTCTGTTTGTCAGTCTTTGTTTCTGTGCAGAGCACCTAATCATAACACCTAATTATAACACCTGTGTGTGAGCCCAGAGATCAAAGGTGTCCATGGTGACGACGTTATCAAACACCTGTGTGTAGAGATCAAAGGTTTCCATGGTGATGTGCAGTGATCTGTGAGAGGAGAGCCTTTCTATTGATCTGAATGAGAGATAAACCTCTCACATTTGAACGTTTTGTTGAAGAACCGTAGCAGCTTTCGGTAAAATGTCAACGCGTGAAGCATATCAGGACCGTGAGGAGCATTTGAGTCTGCTTTTTGTGCACTTTCGGGTCAATAATGTGGCTTTTTTGGCAGATTTATTAAAAGGTGTGCAGCTGGTGCTGTGATGAAAGATGACGCTGCATTTACAATGGGCCTTAACCAAGCGGCAAACTCTGGGGAAGAGCCGGGACGCCAATGCGGAAGTGCCACAAACTGCAGTTCATATATTGGCCGATAGGCGCTGACTGCAGAAAGGAGCAATTTCCATAGAGCCCCATGTTAAAATGCCCAATTTCACAGCCTAAAAAAACATGTTTCTACCTATGGATCCAATAAATATTATTATGAATATAGTTAGATTCCACCTTCATGATTATGGATCTGTGAGTGAATTGTTTTCTAACACGACCCTTTTATTTATATTAGGTCTTAAAGTTTTTGCATAAATTAGGGCGTGGTCACATTGAGTGACAGCTCTGTCAGGTGACTGCTGCTGTTAGCTTTTTGTCTCTCTGCTATCTGCTCCGTCCGTGAAGCTACAGGGACTCTGCCTGGTCAGTTCATCCAGGGAACACAACTTGATCCCGGCCGTGTTTGTTTGTTCTTCATGCTTATATATCGGACTATTGTGACTCGCTCTGCGGTTAAAACAGACGGTGCATGAATGCCGTTTTGCGGTAAGTGAAATTCGAGTACTTTATTTATGTGTTTATGATTTTAATCAGCTACGTAATGAATGTTAAGGCTTGGGTTAGCATGTAAGCGAGTGGTAGCTACATCGGTGCTAACGATGCTAATCGTATCCTCCAAGTTAACTTAAAACCATAGACATAAAGGTTAAAATGAAATAGACAAGTGTTAAGCGTTAAGTGAGATAGTACTGTAGAACAAAAGGCTTCTGTTTGAGGTTGATAAAATAAGGTCATCCTTGTAACTTTTATTATGTAGGTAGGAACTGTATGCATCGCTAAGGTTAATTTAAATTGGCTATGCTCAAGTATGTAGACAAGCTAACGTCGAAGTAGTGTATGTGAAATCAACCTCACAATAAGATGTGTGTATATTACAATTATTAATGTCATATTTCAAGATGATTACTTAGATATTAAATATGGTTGGTTGAGCTGGAGTTCATTATTGAGCTTACACGTTAACGTCACAGTCATCTGAAGAACGAACCCAAACGTTGTTGTTTTTATTAATTGCATTACCAAATTGGTATCAAATAAACAGTAACACAACAGCATTGGTAACACAACTTCCAAAGTTACAGTAAAATAAAAAGAACCCTGACTCGGACAATACACAATCCAACATGTTCAACAGAAGAGAATAAGTTATATTGTTTGTACACATGGTTCTTTACATATATATCTGTTTGTTTAAAGTTTCCAGGTGATGCAGACAGGATGGACCAGAGAGTGAGAGACAGAACTGGACTCCTCACAGCAGTGAACTTCAGCACAGGTACAAATACTCTTTTTTCATACTGTACAAAGAATCAAGAAAGATATTGGTTTAAATAAATGAAGTATTGACTTTAATACACTGATATACATTCCATTAAACAATACTAAATACTAGATCACCTACACATCAGTGAAGTTGAGGGTTTTTTCCATGCAAAGGGTTACATTTAGATGTTAACAAGCAATATGACTGTCAGCTTTATAATTGAAGGTATTGAAGGCAAAGCTATTAGTGACAACTGCTATTTATCTCTCAATATTGTCTGTAAAAAACATGGTAAAAGTTATGATTTCAGTGAGAGAACAGAGCAAGCTTCTACAGTTGCACTAAGTTTTGATAACAGTTAAATATTATTTTGATAATAAAATATAT